GCCCGCGTACCGAAAAAAAAAAAAAAAAAGAGAATATGTGAATAAGCAGTAGAGCTTATTTATCCAAAAATATTTAGTGGTTGCTGGGGTGCAGGCACTGTGTTAGGTAGGCAATGAGATGATGAACAGAAAAAGACAGCTGAGTCTTGCAGGGGAGAGAGACAATCAAAATCACACAAATCCATAGTAATCCACTTACTAAGTGATAAGAAAAAGTACAGAGTGTTATGACAGCTATGTCAGAGGGCTCTAATCCAGTCTGGCGGGTCAGGTAATGTGATGGCTAAGAACTCAAGAGTTCAAATCCTACCTATGCCACTCACTAACCTGGATTAGTTGTTTACCTCTCTGAACCTCAGTTTTCTCATCTGTAATGACAGACCATAAGATTACCTATCTCACAGAGCTGTAATAAGTATTAAATGACAGTACCCATGAACCACTTGGCACGGTGTCTAAATACCATTCAATATGTGTTCCATAAATATTTGATTATTTGGAGCTGTTCCCCAATTCCCCCAGTTTGGGTTAGTTGCCCAAACTAACCACCCATGCTCTCACAAGACCCTCTACGTATCATTATTACAATATCTACCTTATTTACCGCTATCATCTATTTATTTACCTTTCTTTCTCTCATTAGACTGTAGGCAACTTGAGGGCAGGAATCACGCCTTGTGTTTCTTTTATTCTTAACTCTCTACGCATTGTCTAGCTAGCTCACAGCAGGGCCTACTTCAATGTTGGCAAAAGAAATATATTCACTCTTCCCTTTGCACTCATTTTTATGTTACTTGTTCCTTTAAACAAGCCATCTCAGGATCTTTACATTTGCTTTCCCACTGCATAAAGTATTCTATTTACTTATTAAGAAAACTCTTCCCCAGATTTTTTAGTGCTTGCTTCTTAGTATTCATTGTCCCTGCTCAGTTATACCTCCCAACAGCTGTCACATGACCACCTTGTCCAAAACAGCATTCCACCCCACACTTTGAGTCACTCTCTATCCCTTTATTTGTATTTTATTCTTAGTACTTACTACCTGAACTTGCATTACTGATTTGTTTACTCCTGCAGTCTGTCTTCCCTAGAATATAAGTTCTGTGAGGATAAGAGGTTTGCCTGACTGATTCAATACTGTAAAACCAACCCTAGCCTGACACATGGTAGACTTTCAACACTTGTGATTTACTAACTGGATGAATGGAGTCAAACGTTTTGGGCTTATACCAGTTGTTTTTAGTAAACCATGTACACCCAATACATAGGAGGGATACAAAGACAGTAACAAAGAAGCCAAAATATTTACTTATGTTTCATTTCTCTTGTCTTTACCTTCTGTTGGAAGAACCAGTCAGTAAAATGATCAAAAGGCAGAGTTTGGACAAACCAGTAAACACGAAATCTGGCCTGGATTATGATTAGAACACACCCTAGCCTTCCAGGGGGTCTTAATTTTGTTGTTCCCTGTAAAGGATGATATTCCCATGAGGTACACTCCTATGGTGGGGGTGGGCTGCATAAGCCAGCAAAAAGTCTACCTCAGTGTTTCTCAACTGGGAGCAAAATATCTACAATGTAGACATTTGACAATGTCTGGAGACATCTTGATTGTTAGAACTTGGGAGGTAGGGGGTAGAAAGGGGTTTGGAGGTTGCACTGGCATCTAGTGGGTAGAGGCCAAAGATGCTGCTAAACATCTTAATATGCGCAGGACAGTCCCATACAAGAATGAATTATCCAGTCCAAAACATCAGTAGTGCCACTGTGGAGACATCTTAGTCTATCCTTTCCCCTTTACTAAAGAAAGTGTATTAAATGCAAGTGATATTATTAGATACATAACCTTAAATACACGAGTTTAGAAAGTTAAATCAGTATGACTTTAAATCTTTAGTTAGTAACACCAGGACTGTAACAAATCAGCATGTCCAGTCCCTGCTGTTTAGAATCCCTGGTAGATTTCAGAGATAACAGTTCACCTGGAAACTTGAGACCATCTCTAGAAACCAAATTAGCTAAAACTCAACAAAATCAGAAAGCTATGTAAGTCAAGCTATTTAAAGACTGCACTCTGCCCCTGCAATTTTAAGGAAAAATAATTTTTTGGCCACGCCACGCAGTTCCCCCAACCAGGGATTGAACCCACATCCCCTGCATTGGAAGCGCTGAGTGTTAACCACTGGACCACCAGGGAAGTCCCTGCCACTGCACTTTTAAGCACATAATACCCACAATATCTCTGATATTTTTCCTTTGTGTCCTTTTCCAATTCCATCTTTTCCACAAAGCCTTTCCTCATAACTCGACTAGTCTTTGTCACACTTCTCCCATCTGGAGAGCACTCAATCAAATGTTTTCTGCCTGCAACATTTACTAAAGAACACGCTCCATTTCATTCAGCTCATTCCATCTAATTCTTTTTGCACTTAAGGTTAGTACTACACAATAAGCATTCTGTGTGGTTCTTTGTTTCATATCTGTATGCCTTGTACCCCATCTTCCCTGAAGCCAAAGACTGTCAGATTTCCTTCTGTATACACACAAGCCCTAGGATAGACCAAGGCACCCAAAAGTAATTCCCAAAAGAATTTTCTGATTCAAATATGTTTAGGATTCATAACTGTCATCAGCCAGAAAAAACGTATGTGAGGAGAATGAAGGGTGTTTAGGGAACTCAAGCGTTTGTACTAACATAATTACTTTCTTTACCCTCTGTAACACTCAACTTTTCCTGTTGCGTTCGTGCGCATGGCAAGTTTTTCTATTTAGATGGGGCAGCAAGGTCGACAACTAATAGGAGTTACGTAACTCCTTGGAATCTCCCCCTTAAGCATCTTCCTCTTAAAGGCGGGGACCACTTTACTTGCGGTTGCCAAGGCAACCGGGACAGCAAAAATCCGAAGTGGTTCCATCTACGGGAAGAAATTCTAAGGCCCAAAGTTAAAGTGCGGAGCAGCGGCGCGAGTTAGTAGACTGCGGCCAGCACTATGGCTGATTTTAAATCTCCGTTCAGTGCCGCGCCCCCCCCTTTGTTTTCCCGGGAATCCTTGTTTAGGGACAGAGACAGGAGAGAGACTTCGGCAGGCGAACGGCAGTAAGCCAGGCGGTCGCCTCCCACCCGCTTCACTCTGCCAAGACAAATAAGCCACTGCCCTCCACACTCCCATCGCGCCCACCCGAGCTGCGGACACGAGGGAGCTCTCTCCACACCCCCAAGATGCTTAAGCGAAAACACATGCGACTCCTCGGCATCTTAAGCCAGAGAGCTATTCCCCACGCCGCGGCTTTCGGTCCTAGTGAGGGGGCGAACTCAACCCGGGAAGCCGCTCAGGAAAGACCCCAGCTTCGGCTAGGCCTAGTCGCCCCGGGGGCCGGAGAGAGGGCCTAGCCGTAGCCTCGGCCTATGTGGCTCTGTGACCCGAGCCGGGTCACTGCCCGGAGAGTGTGGGAAGAGAAATGAAAAAGCTGGGTACTCCCAGACCCTTCCGTATCGAGGACCCAAATCAACAACTCACCTGGTGAGCGCCATCTTCTTCCGCTTCTTCCAGCGCGAGCGACAGCACCGCGGGGCGGGTCTTTCCCGGCAGAGAAGTGGGGAAAGGAAGGAGCGCGCGGTGCGCAGGCGCCCTTGCCGAATGGTCTTCTGGGATTTGTAGTTCTTTGAACAAGACTACAATTCGGTTCTCTTCTAACTGGAGTTATCACGGGATAAGCGCTTCAGTTAAGAAAAAGCAAATGCATCTCTTCCACTGGTCCCAAATACGAAAGCCTTCCGGGGGCGGCAACGTTAAATAAAAAAGTGGGAAATCGTGAGACTGGCGAATGCAGAATTATTGGACGCTGTGAAAACATTCACACTCAAAAATTTTTACACGCTTTCTTTCTCCACACTCCACCTCCAAAACACTCTCCGGGGTGGAGGTATTGTGTGATCCTTAGTAAGTTACCTTAAGAACACTCCTTATGTGTATTATGTATGTATGTTTTTATATACGTAAGTGTTTTAGATAGATTGTCTTTTACATAGATTATGGATTAAACACAGTCTTTGATGAAGTGATAGGATACATGAAATCTGCTTCAAAATATTGGGGAGAGGGAGGTGGGTGGAATATATGGTAGATGAAACAAGAATAGCTATGAGTTTTGATCACTGTTGAGGCTAGATAATGGGGAAATGGATATTTATTATATTATTCTCTCTACTCTTGTATACGTTTGAAATCTTCCATGATGTAGAAACGAACTTTTTTTTTTTTTTTTTTTTTTTTTTGCGGTACGCGGGCCTCTCACTGTTGTGGCCTCCCTCTCCCGTTGCGGAGCACAGGCTCCGGACGCGCAGGCTCAGCGGCCATGGCTCACGGGCCCAGCCGCTCCGCGGCATGTGGGATCTTCCCGGACCGGGGCACGAATCCGTGTCCCCTGCACCAGCAGGCGTGACTCTCAACCACTGCGCCACCAGGGAAGCCCGAAACGAACTTTTAATAGCAGTATAGCACACATACAGAAAGGTGCATGCACTCAGTGTACAGTTCTCTGAATTTTTCCAAACCACACACACTAGTTTGAGCAGCAGCAGAAGCACCCCACATCCAAGATCACTTGATTTCTGGTGTGACAAGATGTTCAAGGCTAATTTAGTACTTTTTCTGCCCCAGACCTTGAATGAGTCCTTTATCCAAGAAGGTTTTCTTTAAGTGGAAAGTGATATTTAAAGAAAACAATCTGGATGTTACAAATGCTCATCGTTACTGGGCAATTATTGTTTGTAAGCCTTTTCAGTGGACAGAGCTAAAAAATTCACATATACACATAGTTTTTGAGAAAATGCATCATGCATTTATACTAATATTCCAATCCAAGTTTAGGATTATACAGATTTTACTTTGATTTTATATGTGTATCTCTTCTGAAAATCTCAGTACCTAATGGTGTTAACATAATTACTCATTTACCTTATCCTACTATATATATAATGGTTTCAGAATAACATTTCTAATATGATTACTAAACATATGCCTAATGATAATAGTTTCTGAATTTTTTTTTCAAGTCTTTTCTGTCCTCAGGGTGTATCTCTCTAGGCGTGTACAGTCAAGTTGCATTGCTTTAAAGTGACTTGGAATAATTCCTCCGTGTGTCATTATGCCACTAGCTTGATACCCAGTTAGGTCTGAATATTTCATTTTGCTTTGGATTTTTGGGAGCTGCTTTTTAAAAAAAAAAAAAATAGTTTTGTGAAACAGTTATATGGTTTCAAATCCAAAATTTACCAAGCAGGTAGTACATTTAGAGAAGTCTAGATTATTTCCCTGTCTCTTCCTTCTTTTTCCTTTCCTCACCCTGTAGATAACGTTTAAAAATATTTTTTATAGTTTATCCTTCCACTTAAAACTATACACAAATAAGTATATATATATTTTTAAATAAAGTTATTTATTTAATTTATTTTTTGGCTGCGTTGGGTCTTCGTTGCTGCGTGCGGGTTTCTCTAGTTGCGGCGAAAGGTGGCCAGTCTTAGTTGTGGTGAGCGTGCTTCTCATTGCGGTGGCTTCTCTTGTTGCAGAGCACAGGCTCTAGGTGCACAGTCTTCAGTAGTTGTGGCATGCGGGCTCCATAGTTATGGCTTGCGGGCTCTAGAGCGCAGGCTCAGTAGTTGGGCATGGGCTTAGTTGCTCCACGCATATGGGATCTTCCCAGACCAGGGCTTGAACCCATGTCCCATGAATTGGCAGGCGGATTCTTAACCACTGCACCACCAGGGAAGTCCCCATATATATATTTTTTATACTTCTTTTTCTTTCTTAGACAAGTAGCAGATACCATACACACTTTTCTTCACTTTGCTTTTTTCCACTTGTTAATATATATTGGAGATCACTCCTTTGCAGGATATAGAGATTACATTGGAGATTCTGAACAGAGAAAAAACTTGATCTGACGTATGTTTTTAAGACAATCATTATGACTACTATGTTAAAAATGGATTCCAAGAAGCAAGGAAGGAAATGGGGAGACCAATGCGTAGCTTTTGAGATAACTTGGGGAGAGATGCTGATGGCTTAGGCAGGGAGTTAGTAGTGGATATGGTAAGAATTTGGAATCTGGATCTATTTTGAAGGTATAAGCAACACATTTTGATGATGGTATTGATGTGAGGTATGAAAGGGAGTAATCAAGGATGATTCCAACCAGGATAGAGTTGCCATTTACTGAGATGGGAAAACTGCAAGAGGGTCATGTTTGGGGTGGGGGGAGGAAGATCAGGAATTTGGTTTTCAGCATGTTACATTTGAAATGCCTTGTTAGACAGCCAAGTAAATGTGTCAAGTAGGCAGTTTGTATACAAGTTTGAAGTATGGGGGAAATGATCTAGGTTGGAGACATAGTACTTACATTCATGATACCAGATGAGATTACCAATGGAGGGAGTGTGGGTACAGAAGAGAAGTAGTCCAAGGACAGATTTCTGGAGTTTAGAATTTGGGGAGATGGGAGGAACCAGTAAGGAGACTGAGAGAGAACTGCTAGAGGTTTGATCAATGGAATTAGGGGAGAAAGCATAGGCCTTTCTTTTGGATCAGAAGCTATAAGGTTGATTTACCAGGTGTGATTTACCAGTATCTATCTTTCCTGGCATAAAACAAGAGCCTGTGACAGGGAAAAAAGAAGCCACCATGCAAAAAGGAGAGACCAGAGAGTAAAGAGAAGGAGAGTAAGAGATTGATAGAGGTTGAGACCTCTGAACAACATCATGGGAGCTCCTGGATCCAGCAGTGCCTGAAGACCACACCACCTTGAATTTTTTTAACCAAGTGAGCCAATAAATTATTTTGTTGCTTTAAACTAGTTTGAGCTTATTATCATTTACAACAAAAAGGTTATTTTCTGTGCTCCCATAATACTTGTTCTTCCCCCAGTCTTTTTTTTTTAACATCTTTATTGGAGTATAATTGCTTTATAATAGTGTGTTAGTTTCTGCTTTATAACAAAGTGAATCTGCTATACATATACATATATCCCCATATCTCCTCCCTCTTGCATCTCCCTCCCACCCTCCCTCTCCCACCCCTCGAGGTGTCACAAAGCACCGAGCTGATCTCCCTGTGCTATGCGACTGCTTCCCACTAGCTATCTATTTTACATTTGGTAGTGTATATATGTCAATGCTACTCTCTCCCTTCGTCCCAGCTTCCCCTTCCCCCTCCCCGTGTCCTCAAGTCCATTCTCTACATCTGCATCTTTATTCCTGTCCTGCCCCTAAGTTATTCAGAATCATTTTTTTTTCAATTCCATACATATGTGTTAACATACAATATTAGTTTTTCTCTTTCTGACTTACTTCACTCTGTGTGACAGACTCTAGGTCCATCACCTCACTACAAATAACTCAATTTCGTTTCTTTTTATGGCTGAGTAATATTCCATGGTATATATGTCCCATATCTTCTTTATCCACTCATCTGTTGATGGACACTTAGGTTGCTTCCATGTCCTGGCTATTGTAAATAGAGCTGCAATGAACATTGTGGTACATGACTCGTTTTGAATTATGGTTCTCTCAGTGTATATGCCCAGTAGTGGGATTGCTGGGTCGTATGGTAGTTCTATTTTTAGTTTTTTAAGGAACTCCATGCTGTTTTCCATAGTGGCTGTATCAATTTACATACCCACCAACAGTGCAAGAGGGTTCTCTTTTCGCCACACCCTCTCTAGCATTTATTTTTTGTAGATTTTTTGATGATGGTCATTCTGACTGGTGTGAGGTGATACCTCACTGTAGTTTTGATTTGCATTTCTCTAATGATTAGAGATGTTGAGCATTCTTTCATGTGTTTGTTGGCAATCTGTATATCTTCTTTGGAGAAATGTCTATTTAGGTGTTCTGCCCATTTTTGGATTGAGTTCTTTGTTTTTTTGTTATTGAGCTGCATGAGATGCTTGTATATTTAGGAGATTAAGCCTTTGTCAGTTGCTTCATTTGCAAATATTTTCTCCCATTCTGAGGGTTGTCTTTTGGTCTTGTTTATGGTTTTCTTTGCTGTGCAAAAGCTTTGAAGTTTCATTAGGTCCCATTTGTTTATCTTTGTTTTTATTTCCATTTCTCTAGGAGGTGGGTCAAAAAGAATCTTGCTGTGATTTATGTCATAGAGTGTTCTGCCTATGTTTTCCTCTAAGAGTTTGATAGTGTCTGGCCTTACATTCAGGTCTTTAATCCATTTTGAGTTTATTTTTGTGTATGGTGTTAGGGAGTGTTCTAATTTCATTCTTTTACATGTAGCTGTCCAGTTTTCCCAGCACCACTTATTGAAGAGGCTGTCTTTTCTCCATTGTATATTTTTGCCTCGTCTATCAAAAATAAGGTGACCATATGTGTGTGGGTTTATTACTGGGCTTTCTATCCTGTTCCATTGATCTATATTTCTGTTTTTGTGCCAGTACCATACTATCTTGATTACTGTAGCTTTGTAGTATAGTCTGAAGTCTGAGAGCCTGATTCCTCCAGCTATGTTTTTCTTTCTCAAGATTGCTTTGGCTATTCAGGGTCTT